CCAGGGTAGGGGCAATGGAATGAAGCTGTCATGCTTGATTGATTCCAGAGGGAGCTGTCAACAACAAATAGCACGCAATGTTGGCCTCTGCTCTTGCGTTATTTTCTGCACTTCTGTGGAGGCCAGCCGCATCGCACCATTGAATAACGTTTCCAGTGGCATATACCGCAAGCTGCCACCAGAGCTCCTCTTGGTCTTGTTCGTGTGCTTGTTTTCCATATGTGCCTCTATATTTTGTACAGAAAAAGAGTACGATATTTTGCTGCCACCAGGGCCAATTTTTGCCCCCATGTGAGTGACATTGCCACCGGTGAGAACACAGAGCCCCTTGTAGTCACATCCTGATGGCCTCCGCCATTGCGCTGGGGCCAGGTGAGCATAGAAATGGCAGCAGACCAGGGCCTTCAGGCTGCCCCTGCCCCTGGCCTGAGGCCCTGCAGTGCCAACAGCAGAGGCCCCCATGGTGTGAGGCGGCCGTGCTGCCAGGGCAGGCCCCAGAGAGCTGAGCCCACGGCCACCAGCCCCAGCCCACTGTCCTGCTGCTCCCGCAGGGTTCCCACCGGGGTGGACGACACAGCCCTCCCAGGAGCCCAGCCCTTGCTGCCGTGACCACCACTGCTTCCCAGCTGAGAGCCCACCCTTGCCGGCCTCTGCCTGGTTCTTGACAAATTCAGCCCCATTCACCCTCCCCTCCCGGCAGCCTGTTAGTGGCTCTGGGGAAGCTGGCACTGATTAATGACAGTAACAGATGACATCCATCTGCCCATCAGGTGAAAACTCACCACTGGCATCTTTCCTGTCAGACTCTGCGGGAAGCATGGAGGCCTGTCTGGTTGGGACCTAAAGTCCCTGGCCGCCCCCTGGCCTGAGGCCTCCAAGCAGGGCCTGAGACAGATGAGCCCACTGGGGCCAGAAGGGCCAGCTCTGAGCCTGACCAGGACTGACCAGGAGCCCTGTCCCCACAGGCCAGCTGCCTTTCTCAGACCTCTGTGAGGTGAGCGGTGGACCCCGAAGGTGGGCTGGGTTCCCTGCCTTCACCTCCACCCCTGTCAGGCCCCCCTAATCCCACTGACCTCGGTCAGCTCTGCCACCTGCCCTGTTCCCTCCAGACCACCCAGAGCCTCGACTGAGCTACTGCCCCGGGTCCTGCCGTGAGTGGACAGGAACCAGCACGGGCTCCCAGCCACCACCTGCCCACCCCGCCCAGCTGCCCCACTGGGACCTGACAGGGAGGAGCCCACACTGGCATGCCTGACAACAGCCATGACCTTACCTGTGCTGCAGAGAGGGAAACTGAGGCTCAGCAAGGCCAGACAATCTGACCGCTCACTGGTCTGGCCTCCTGACCCCAAAATCTGTGCCCCAGGGGAAAGAGAAGAAAGAGGTAAGCGCATCCTACAGCACAATCCCCACGCCAAGGTCTGTGTTCCCTGCGGCAGGGCCCTGGGGTTGGACATGAACGCCCAGGTCCCCCATGGCCTGCTGACCCCAAATGGGAGAGGGCCCAGCCCCAGCAGCCCAGCCCAGCACCACCCCAGAGGGAGCCTCGAGATCAGTTGCCACGGCCAGGACACTACAGAGAGGCCCAACAGGACCAGGGCCTTCAAGCCAACAGCGTAGGGGGTGTTTCCTCTGCAGAAAAGCCCTCTGCTCCCCAGAGAGAAGTGTGCCTGCACCTGGGATCTGCTTTGCATGTAGAGGGGGCAGTGGCCCCACACGGGGGGCTGACGGGGCCAGAGTGCAGCAGAGACGCTGTGGCAAAACCCACCGCAGATCCCAGGACGTGAGCCCACAGCCCAAGGCGGACCGGGCAGGGGAGCAGTAATGGGTTCCGCACGTCCCGCAACGTGCCTGAAGCGGGGAGGGGCTGGGGGTCAGCACACACAGGAGGCAAAGGTCATGGAGGGGCATCTCCGATCCCATCAACCCCGAAGTGCCCCGGGGCCGGCCCAGGCATCCCATGGACCGGCAGTTGATGGGGCCTGGCGCACCCCTGGGGATGGACCCTCAACAGCGGCCTGAACAAGGAGCCCGGAGCCAGGAGACGCACCTGCTGCCCCAGGGAGGTCCCCACTCCGGGAGGGTCGGGGTGTGGCAGACGGTAGGGGTAGCCAGAGGGTGGGGGAGGAAGGGCCTCACCCGCAGGACTAGCTGGGCCTGCCGGGAGATTGGTTCAGTCTCGCCCTGCTGGGGGACGCGTCCTGGGTGGAGGGGGCTTCCCAGCCTGCAAGGGTCACACAGGAAGCCCAGGGTCACCACTGATGAGAGGACAGGGCTCCAAGGGGCTGGGCCATGTGATCCTTGCCCCACATCCCCTCCAAGGGGCTGGACTGTGTGATCCTGGCCCCCACATCCCCTCCTAGGGGCTGGGCTGTGTGATCCTGGCCCCCACATCCCCTCTGAGGTTGAGGTTCGAGGATCTCATGAGTGTCTCCTCTCCTGTCCTGCATCCTCACCCATGCTCCACCAGCATCCCAGCCCCGGCTCTTGCACCCATCCCTCCATCCTTTCCTCCCTCCCCCCTCCTTCCATTCCAACTGTCTGAGCTGGCTTGGGCACCATGACTGCGTAGCACCCACTGGGAGTCTAAATCACAGACACCTCACCATCCTGGGGGTGGAGATCAGGCGCAGTGCCGCACTGGGACCCCGGGAAGCAGATGACAGCTCCCGGCACATCTCCTGGGCACGTCTGTGGATTGCTGGGGCTCCCAGCAGCTCTCCCAAGCCCTGGAAATGCCTCCTGGATCTGCTATATCCACCTGGAGCCTCTTGGTGCACAGGGGCACACACAACACCTCCACTCTCTACCCCGAAGGATGCCCGCTACAGCGGGGTCCTCATCCACCCTGCCTCCAGCCACCCTGTTCTAGGGGCACCTGGGTCCCCAGCCAGCTTCTAACTGGCACCCATGGCCAGTGCTCTTGGCTCTGGAGGAAGGAGATGGAGGCTTTGCTTGACGTTCCTTCCTAATGGGCACGGAGACCCCCCTCCAGGGCCCCTTCCCCTCACCCCACCCGGCAGCCAGACCGCAAATACTTCACACGGTACTTTGAATTTAATGGTTCACATGGGCTCCTCTCTGAGCTACTGCCTTTTATTTTATGACTAAATTAATATTATACATACAAGAGCACATTTAAGACACCCAGCAGAGGAGCAGGAACAGTGTTCGTGTGGGAAAGGATAAATTTTTACACACAAGCGTCTCCGGGCCATTAACGGGCCACGCATCCATCTGTCTCCGCAGCTGATCTTAATCCCGTCCTGGCGCCTGGGGCCCGAGGCTCGTGGAATCGCCTGCCACACATGTCTTTGCGGACCACTCATTTGTGCGTGTTCAGGATATACTGGGTTTCATAATTTTTATATGCAAATCTATAAAAAGCCCTTTGCTATCTCATTTAAATCACTGAATAATTAACCAGACTATCCAGCCCACCTCCGTTCTCCTCAAATCCCTGGAAGTGAGAGGGGCCAGAACTGACCAGGAGAGCAGGGTCCCAGGGCCCCCTCGGGACAGACTGCCCCCACAGTGGGCGCCAGATCTGCTGGACCCAGGAGGCCTGGGGGAGCTGACCTACCTCCTCTGGGATGTGGTCAGAGCAATGGCCTGAGCCAGCCCTGTGAAGACCCCCGCCCCAACCCCAGACAGTGCTTCACCCGCAGTCTCAGAGAGAACAGCACAGGCTGTAAGAGAGATTCCCTAGACAAAAGGGCAGAGCACCTGTCCAGTGATGTGGAACCCACAAGACCACTGAGAGGTGCCCCTGCACCCTCCCAAGCTCCCTCCTCCCCTCCCTCCTCCATCCATCCATGCATCTGTCCTTCCATTCTTCCCTCCTCCCCTCCTTCCGTATCCATCCATGTATCTGTCCTTCCATTCCTCCCTCCTCCCTTCCCTCCTCCCCCCATCCATGCATCTGTCCTTCCACCCCCCTCTACCCCTCCCTCCTCCCAAGCTTCCTCCTCCTCTCCCTCCTCCATCCATCCATGCATCTGTCCTTCCATTCCTCCCTCCTCCCCTCCCTCCTCCTATCCCTCCCCATCCATGCATCTGTCCTTCCATTCCTCCCTCCTCCCCTCCCTCCTCCTATCCCTCCTCCCTTCCCTCCTCCCTCCCATCCATGCATCTGTCCTTCTACCCCTCTCCACCCCTCCCTCCTCCCAAACTTCCTCCTCCTCTCCCTCCTCCATCCATCCATGCATCTGTCCTTCCATTCTTCCCTCCTCCCCTCCTTCCCTATCCATCCATGCATCTGTCCTTCCATTCCTCCCTCCTCCCCTCCCTCCTCCCCTCCCTCTCTTCCTCCACTCCTCCCTTCCTTCTTCCCTCCCTCCATTGCTCCCTCCCTCCCTCCCTCCGCCCAGTCATCCAGCTGCCTGGATGTGCACGGGGTGCCTGGCCGTTGCAGAGCACTGGAGGCACAGAGGCAGAGAAAGGAGGTACAGTCCCAGCCCCCAGAGGTCCCTGCAGAGGGAAGCCGACCTGCTCCACCCTCCAGCCCCCACCCAGGTCGGCCTCCACCATGCACCTCCCACCATGTGCTGGAGGCAGCTGTTCCCAGGAGGATTCCAGAGCACCACACCCGGGCTGTCTCAGTCACTGTCGCTGCTCTCCGGGAGCCTGGCCTCCCCAGGAGCAGCATGGATCTTTCCAGGATGGGCATGAGAGTCCTTCAGGGGCTCTGTCACAGTCCCGCACCCCCAGCCCTGTGTAGAGGCTCTAGTATTTTCCTGTTTTTCAGGCAAGGTTTAGAGGGAAGATGGGCACAGGCCTCAGAGTCAGACCCCGTGAGGGCTTTGCTCCCTGAGGGCTGTGAAAGCTCAGAAGAGGCGACGGCTTCAAACTGGACCTTGGGAGAGGAGTCAGGACCTGCCCAGTGGCTGGGGAGGAGCGAAGGGGGTCAGCAGAAGCAAAGGCTGGGCAGTGAGCACCTGAGGCCCGGCCCGCATGCTGGGGGTGGGGAGGGTGCCAGGACTGGGAGGGGGCCTGTCTCAGACAGCGTGGGCTGCCCCCACAGAACCCGCAGACAGACAGCTGCAGCAACAGACTATTCCTTATAGTTCCGGAGGCCAGAAGTCCAGGATCAAGGCTCCGGCGGCTCGGCTCCTGGAGAGGGCAGCTTCCCGGGCTGCAGACACTGTCCCTGGCTGTGTCCTCACGTGGCCTTTTCTGGGCACAGGCTGGGGGTGCGGCCAATGTCACTCTTCCTCTTCCTGCAAGGGCCCTCATCCCATCATGGGCCCCAGCCTCAGGATCCGACCCTAACTGCCTCCCAAAGACCCCATCTCAAACACTGTCACATGGAGGTGAGGGCTTCAACCCAGAACTGGGGGCACCCACACGTTCCGCCCATGACAGGCCTTGAAAGCCAGGCCAAGGAGTCAGCCTGGACACCCTTGCCAGCGGAGCCCCAGCACCAAGGCAGGCCCATCTCCCCTTTAGAAATCCCCTCTCCAGAAGAGACGGAGAGCAGGCCCTGCCTCTCTGAGCGGAGTGTGCCCTTTGTAAGAAAACAGTCCTCGTGACTGTAACTCTCTCCTGATTCTGAGAGTCCCGGAAACTGTCAAGCCTGAGGGGGGATCACGGGAACCCCTGGATTTGTAGCCAGTTGGTCAGAAGTGTGAGCCTGGGACCGCCTACCTTGCAACCGGCATCTGCAGTAGGGGCAGTTCTGTCTGTGTGACCTGCGGGTGATTTCTGCAGAGCACAGTAGCTGGGGTGGGGATGGGCCGTCTGTGTCGGCGCAGTGGTGACCCCACCCTTGGTGGCTAGAAGGCAGCCATGTCACCTGCATGGGTGCAGATCCTCGTGTCTCCAAGGGCCTGGAGGGCCCACACAGCCTGGCAACAAAACATGAAGAACGAGTGCCACCCACCGTCTGAGAGCCCCCATGGGTCCTGCTGAGATCCAGGAAGTACCAGTGTCAAACTTCCCAAGGTGATGGTGGTGCCTCTTCTCAGGACAGAGCAGCCCCCACGGTCTGGCAGCAAAACCTGAGGAACGGGTCCCACCCGTCGTCTGAGACGTGCGTCACCACCCCACGCACTCTGCCTCCGAGGCTCCACACAGAGAAACGAGGGCATCGGGGATGCTGAGCCCAAATGCGACTCAGGGGAGCCCAGCTCTGGGAGTGGGGCATTTTGGGGCCACTTTCATTCTGTGATCTTGCTTTTTTCCCCTTTTTATGGATGTATAAGAGCTTGAGCTATGATAAAATCCTACGAGTAAATAAGTCTAAGAGCTCTCCGATGCATGCAAAGTAGAGCTTCTATGTGATAAAACACTGTGTCATAGTTTTATAGGCAGCATTTTTTCTTTCTTAGAGGTACATAAAACAACAATGCACCTTATAATCAATGGCATTCAACAAAATAGTTAAAAAATAATACTCCGCAGTCCAGCAGGGTCTGTCCAAGAGGAGCAAGAACGGCTCACATTAGATCAATCCCTCAGGTGACTCACCAGTCTGCTAAAAGGACTAAAGGACAAAAAAACCACATGAATTATCTCAATAGACACAGAAGACCTGTACAAAGTTCAACACCTATTTATAATTTCTAAAAACTCTCAGAAGGCTACAAATAAAAGAGAACATCTTTAACCTGATAAAACCTACTTTCCAGAAACCCCCAGGAAACATCAGACTTCACAGAAAAATCTAAGACACAATCTCTTCCAGACCAGAAATCAAGGGCATCCCTTATCGCCACTCAGTTTAACATAATCTCGAAAGTTCCGGGAAACGTTGCAAACAAACAAACAAAAAAAATTAAGAAATGAAGAGGTGTAAGGACTGGAAAGGAAGAGATAAAACTGTCACGACTGGTGGATAACGTGGCCATCTATGTAGAAAATGTCACCGAATCAACAAACTACTAGGACGAACACTTACAAGATAAACCTACAAAAATCAATAATGTGACTCTATGGCAGCAATAATCAGCCAGAAAATAAGATACCATTCAGCAACTGAAGCAATTAAGTGGCTAGGAATTAAATTACCAAGGAACAGGCTGGCCTTTTGCTGAGAAAATTCCGGAACTCGGTGAAAGGACCCAGCCAAGCCACTGAAAGGAGAAGGCACCATGGTCAGCTCGGGAGTGACCAGCAGCACAGCCCACGACATCACCAAATTAGCTTCTAGATTAGTGCAATGCAAAGCAATGTTCCAGCAGGCATTTTAAAGACACCCAACCACAGCCCTGCTCCAGCACACTATGGAAGAATGAGCGTCCTTGAATGGGAAGCTGATTGAAAAGCCAAGAGAAAGGGCTCACTCCACCAGGATGAAGACAAACTATGAAGCCGTGGAAATGAAAGATAAAAATAAAAGCCAGCACGCTGCCGGTGACGGAACAAGCCCACCCTGAACAGATTCAGGGACGTGTGGGAACTCACTTAGGTAAAAGGCGACGCCCACAGATCAAGGAGAACCCAGCGTAGGGGAAAGTGGCTCATTATACGGAGACAAAGTCACGTCGGCCACAGATGGACTAAAAAGGAAACTGACAAAGAAGCAGGGAGGCTGGGCAGGGCGCGGGGAGGAGGCGCACTCTCAGGACAAGGCTGATGCAACCCTAGCACCAAAGACCACCAGTAATCACCCTCCACGTCCACACCAAAGTCAACAAAAGAAAGATGCCCTCGGCCACAGGGTGGAGAGTGGGCTGGAGGGAGCCTGGGGACCCCGCTGGGCTGTCCCCTGAAAGTGGCACCAACCCTGCTGGAAGGCATCATCTGCTGGGCCTGAGGCCCACCCCAGACAACATCGGCACTCTGGACCCCTCCTGCCAGCACTTAGCCACCCCCTGCCCACTCAATCTTACCGAGGTGTGCATGGCCCACAGAGTTCAGGCGTTGACTTTGCAGCTGGAGACAGGGCCTTGGCCTCAGGGACTTTGGAGGTGCTGGAACTGGTCAGTGGAGGGCCTTCTGTGGGACTTGGGCATGGGCAGCAGCTGCAGGCCAGGCTATAGCTGGGACCATGGGATGCAGTGGGGGGACCTCAGGGGCAAGCCCAGGGATTCTTCCAGCCCCCACTCCCAGGCCCCCCTGAAGACCCCACTTCCCTGACTGCCACTCGCAGTCCCAGCTTCAAACAGGTTCTTTGAGGGGGAGGAGAAGCAATCTCCTTCATATAAATGTTTAATTGGGAATTAATATGGATGAGGCTCTGGAGTGACGGGGCTGTGGGTTTAATAAATATTAACAAGGAATGGGCCTCCCCTTCCCGTGCCTGTGCTAATCCCTCTGTTCGTGCAACATCCATTATTCACCGTGTTTCTCAACGCCAGCCCCGGGAACGGGGCCGGGTCCTTCCTCCTGGGGCTCCTTCCACGAAGGTGCTTTGAATCCCTGGCCTCAGGGGCTGAGGGTTCCACTACAGGGTGTTCCACTACAGGGTGGACGGATCGGCTTTCTGTGGGTGTGGAACTCTGACCACAAGGACGCTCACTGGCCCATCTTCCATTGGCACAGACACACACTCACTGACCAGGAAACCCGTATTCCTGCCTTACCTTCAGCCCCACCGGTCTCCTACCACTGATGCCACCTCTGCCAGGAAGCCCACCTGGTCTGCCCACAGGGAGCAGCACCCGTCCCCTGGGGCAGCCACAATCCTCTCTCCTGACCTGGCAGGGGCTCAGAGACCCAGGGACCCACCCAGCCCGCTGCAGGTGGGCTGCTCCAAGGCGACCCAGTTCTCCTATTGGACTCCACCAAGGGGTCCAGACCCTGTCCACACTGCTGCCTGGCCGGGCCACGGGTGGAGCTCCGGCGCCCTCGTGTGGCCTGAGTGTGCAGGACCTCAGCAGTGCTGCCCCATGGGAGGATCCAGGGAGCCAAGCCCAATATCAGTGATTACCCAGGTCAGTCTGGGGATGTACAGACCCAGCGTGTGGCACTGGGACCGAGCCCCACCCTCGGCCTGGGTTTCCCAACAGTGCACTCGCTTCCTAACCTGAGAACGTCCCTGTCCACACAGAGGGAAAGCCCTGCTGCCTGGGCTTCCCTCCCCTACATTGGTCAGGCCCCCTTCACTGCAGCTGCCCCCAGAACCTTGCAGGGATTGGGGCGTGGAGCCCAGGACCTCTGCTGCCCAGGCCCACTGAATATTGGGCAGCCCAAAGCCCTGACCCTACCTCCCCTTGGCTCCTAAACACTGCTGGGCACGTGTGCCTAGGGGCAGCACGGCCCCTCCCATCCATGGGATGCCAACCCCCTCCAGTGATGCCCACCACGTGCGGGGTCTCAGAGGCCCAGTCCTGTGCCCTGCCCACCCTCCTCATCCCTAGTAAGGATGGCCCCCATCCCTAATGCGCATGGCCCCCCATCCCTCGTGTGCACGGCCCCCCATCCCTAGCATGAATGGCCTTGTGGACTTAACAGGACCCTCCATGAATCTCCATGGGAAGTTCAAGACCCATCCCCCAGTGCCTGCTCCACCCTCCGAGGGGCAGGACCCTCTGCCCACCCCATCCCTCCATCTGTTCCTCCTCCCCTGGAGCCCCACCAAAGCCAGGAGGAGGAGAGGCAGGGGAAACAGCCTCCATTGGCTCCTGAGTTGGCCCCAGCAGAGCACCCGCACAGAGGCAGGAGCGGGGGGTCCTGAGAGGCCAGCTGTCCCCAGGGATTTCAAGAGGCCCCCTGCACTCACTCAGCACCACCCTCATCCCACCCAGCCTGGCCAGACAGACAAGGGCCTGGGCCAGGGGGCAGGAGCAGAGGGTGATAGGGGCACAGACCTGTGAGGGTCATGGGGGTGAAGGACCTCAGGCTGGAAAGACCCCAGTGAGTGAGGAGGCCAGATCCCCATCCTTCCCAGCCCTCACCATCCCCACTGCCCCCACCCACCCCCAGCCCAGGCATCCCCTGAGAAGGCAGGCTGGGGAGACAGGGAGAGGACAGTTAGGGCAAAGGGGACCAGGACTGTGCTGGGGCTGGGCCACTCTCACTCCATCCCTTAAGCCCCTGCCTCTCTCCAGCTTGGCCCCTCCACACCCAGCCCACCCACTCCCGCCACCCCTCCCTGGCATCCCACAGCTGTGACCACAGCTAGGACACCGCGGAGAACTCACCACAGCACGCACAGCAGCCAAACCCTCCTCTTGGTCATAAGGACCTTCCCGGTGGCCCTCTCCGGTCTCACCTGCAAGCACCCCTCTGCTTACCCTCACAGAGGGGTGAGGGCATGAAGGCCCCGTAGGGTGAATGAGGGAATGAAGGCCCCACAGGGTGAAGGAATGAGTGAAAGCCCCACAGCATGAATGAAGGAGTGAAGGCCCCATCAGGTGAATGAATGAGTGAAAGCCCCATCAGGGTGAATGAATGAGTGAAGGCCCCATCAGGTGAATGAATGAGTGAAGGCCCATCAGGGTGAATGAATGAGTGAAGGCCCCACAGGGTGGGTGAGGAGTGAAGGTGGCTCTGCAGCCTGCCCGGACCTGGTGAGTCTCACAAGCCCCCAACTCACGCGGCCTGGTCTTTGTCCAGCAGAGTCTGAGCAGAGTCCCCTCCGTCTGCACTGGCCCTGGGACCCCCTCTCTCCTTGACCCAGGGGAAGGGTCCATGCTCAGCCCAGGGCTGCTGGGAGGTGAACCCGACTCCCTGTGGCTGTGCCCCTGTGTCAGCCACCACTGCGGGTTCCACGGCTGAAGCTCCACTTCCTTCCTCCCAGAAAGTCTCAGCACGGGGCTCCACTGGGGATCCCTCAAGGTCGGAATGCCCCGGGCCCACGGAAGGGCCTTGTGCAGACATTTCCGCCAAGGTGGAACTGAGAGCCCTCTCGGTGGTGGGAGGGGACAGCTTGCCTGGGGCTGGGGGGAGGAGGTTGTTCTCAGGGCCTTTTCTGACCAGCTCTGAGCACTCTCTGGGACCAAGGCCACGGGAGCAGGGAGGCCTGGGGGCTGTGCTGGTCACCCACACACAGGACAGCCCCCGAGCCAGAGACAGCCATGCTCAGAGGCCAGAGAGGCCCCAAGGGGAATGGCACCCTTCCCCCCACCCAACCTGGTCAAGTCAGTGGAGCTACCGCCTAGCCTGGGGTTGGGCAGCCCACAGTGGTCCCAGAGGAGGAGAGTTGCCAGGTAGTGACAGCCCCACAGAGGGGCACATGGAAGCACCTGGACCCGATCCCAGAAGGGCTCAGGCACTTGGGTGCTGGAACCGGTGGGAGAGGCAGGACTGGGCTGCATGGAGGACGCCATCCACTGCCGCCCCTCGGCAGTCACCATGGCCCCAGGCAGTTACACCTACCACAGGGGACCCACGGGCTCAGCTTCCTCCCCACAGCGTTCACTCCTCCAAACCCAATTCTGGCGACCGACCGCCGGTGCTTCCCGCAGGCTTAAGGGGAATCGTGTTATGAACTAGAAGGGAATTTCTCTGCTTTGGAGAAAGTCCTCGGCTGTTTGTTGAAAAGTGTAAAGGGGGCTCGGCGCAGTGGCTCACGCCTGTAATTCCAGCACTTTGGGAGGCCAAGGCGGGCGGATCACAAGTTCAGGAGTTCGAGACCAGCCTGGCCAGCATAGTGAAACCCCATCTCTACTAAAAATGCAAAAAAATTAGCTGGGCATGGTGGTGTGCGCCTGTAATCCCAGCTACTCAGGAGGCTCAGGCAGGAGAATCACTTGAACCCAGGAGGCTGGGGTTGCAGTGAGCCAAGATAACGCCATTGCACTGCAGCCTGGGAGACAAGAGTGAAATTCCATCTCAAAAACAAAGAAAAAGAAAAGCCTAAAGGAAGCACAGGAGGCCGTCAGTCCGGAAGCCCACCCCAGAGCCCCCTTCTGGGATCTTGCATCGTGGAGAGAGGTGGAAAGGCCCCATGCTCCTCCCCGACCCGCTACCCACCTGCCCCCCAGCCTCGCGCTCTGACGAGCTGGCCTGGGAGTCAGGGAAGGGTCTTGTGTCAGGTTGCTCTGGGTGCAGTTGCCCCTCCCCAGGACAGGGAAGGGTGACAAACAAATGGGTGGGACCGGCATCCTGATGCTGTCAGGGTGACACGGCCCAGAACATATTCCCCTCTACAGCCTCCCTAGAGAGTCAGGCCCCATCCCTTCCCCTCCACCAGCTCCTCGTGCTCTGGAGGGATCACAGACCTGAGGAGACAGCCAGGGCCCCAACCCAGGGGTTTTTACCAGGGGAGCTGGAAAAGAAAGAGAAGGAGGTGGAATCGTGGGAATATTACCATCCCACTTTGCCGTGAAAGTAAATTTCAGGGCAAAAGTATTAAATGGAATGAAGAGAATATTCTGTTTAGGTTGAAAGTGCAATTCACCCTACTGGCAAGGCCAGGGATGTGTGTTTCACCCAGACATTGGCCTCCAAGGAAGGAAACCCTCTGCCATCCTTCTAATTGCACATGTGCAAATGCTACATGCACACGTCTGCCTGAGCTGACTCCAACACTCGTTCGTTCCCCCTGTGGCTGCGGGAAAGCCAGCCCGGGCATCTCAGAAGTTAATGTGGGAGAGGCCAGTGGTCCAGAATGTGTACCAGGGTTCTCCAGAGAAACAGAGCCAACCGGATGTGTGGACACCTATCTTTGTATGCGTGTGACAGAGCTTGATCACAAGGATTGGCTCATGTGATGACGGCACTGAGAAGCCCCCAGATCTGCAGTCAGCCTGCAGGAGACAGGAGGGCCAGTGGTGTCAGCTGGAATCCAAGGCCAGGAGAAGACCCATGTCCCGGCTCAGTCAAGCCAGAAAAGCTCACTCTTACACAGCCTCTTTGTTCTACTTGGGTCTTCAATTGATTGGATGTGGCGCCCACACTGGGGAGGGCAATCTGCTTTGCTCAGATGGCAAATACTGCCCAGTGTATGAGGCTCCCCGAGGCCCAGATGAAAGCAGACCTCTCCCCGGGCTGCCCCCACAGCCACGCCACGCAACTGGGCACCTGCAACCTGGACTTGGCAGCAGTCAGCATTGGAGCCATCGACTCAAAAGTCTCAGCACACGGATTAGGAACCGAGCCCTAGAAGTCCGCCTTGATTATTTCATGAGACTTGTGCCCTTCTCTCCCTACCAGCCAAGCAGTTCCCAGACAGGCCCAGAGGACAGCAAATCTTGGAGCTAGAGAGCGCCCGGCTCGAGCGTGTCACAGGCGGGCATCACGGTGCTCTCTTGCTTCCTGGTCTTCAGGGTTCATTTTACTGGCGTTTAAGAGGCTGGGATGGTGGCTTTTGTTTTCTAAAATCCTCACGGAGCAAAATCCCATACAATCTTGGAGGAAATTAAACTTAGAAAATTAGATGCTAGGCTTGGCCGAGACCTTGACGGGGCCCCCCACAGGGCCAGACTGACACATCCACTGAGACCACATCACAGTTATTAACCTTTTGCTCCCAAACATATGGAGAAAAGCTGCTAGAAACACGGGGAGAATTTTCCTAAACCACAGTCACAGCGGGAGACTTCAACACACCTCGCTGGGTAATTGCCAGATCAAAGAATGAGTACAGGAAAAAAGAATATTCATAGAACAATTAACCACCATAAATTACTAGATCTACAAGACTTTGCACTCAACAAAGAAAGTGCATTCCTTTCAAATAACAAACAAGTGAAAAAAAGAGCATGTTCAAGAACCCTAAGGAAATCCCAGTAGATCCCTAACGGGGAAATTGTGACATTCTGATCACAGTGCAATAAAACAGGAAACTAACAACAGAGCATCTTCTTTAGAGTCCTCACCT